GACTCTGTAAACCGCTTAGAGAGGGCTGAAAGCCCTATGAAGCGGTATATAAGTCTAACTGCTATTGCTATAGCTACTTTACTCAAAAAGGGAACTCTACTCACGTGTAGGAAGCCTAAAATGCCATTAACTTGGTTTAAACAAAGGTTCAAATTGCCTCCATTAAAAAAAAACAAATTGCCCCCCTGTGGGGCATAAGCTCCATGTTGGGAACCACTGATCTAGATTGATTCAGAGAATTATCTTAAGAAAATTATTAAGGAAAAAAGGAATATTTAACAGGAATATCAGCAATAACCAGAAACAGACTACCAAAGTGCTTTTATCAAGACTTTGATAACCAAAAAAACCCTGACCAAACACTTTCCTATTCCTGTTAGATTTCCCTAGATTTTCTGTTATCACCAGGTAACAGTTCAGATAGATAGAAGAAATAGAGTCAGTAATTGCCAGAATTTTCCTAGGGTGGTGAGAATTACAAAGAAAGAGGCCATCGTCTTGTCAAACAACTCAGTCTATTTTCATAAAGGGACGTTGGCTTATACACAACTAAAATTCCACCAAATCAGTCTATTTTCATAAAGGGACGTTGGCTTATACACAACTAAAATTCCACCAAATTCAGAGATCTCTAGGCTAGACAAGGCTAGGATTTGTCATGCCTCTGTTATCCGAAGTCAGGAAAACCTTGACTTTTAACAGGTGGGTAAAGCGTATAATATTCTTAGCAAGTTTAATATAAATATAAAAGGATTTAGAGGAAGGTTGCTGACCTTAGTGACATCTTCAATTAAAGGTCATAGAGCAAGCAGTGGACCAACTCTGAGATGCTAGAAGAGGCAATGCTAGTCTAGCTGACCAATAGTTTAATTTTCTTAAACCGTTTGATAGTTCCTCCAAGACCAGTGGAAAACGTTAAATATTTTGATATGCACTGCTGATTTCCAATAGCTAAACTGCATGACTTCTAACCTGCTATGCCATCATGGTATGGTATAGCAGCAAGGTATATAATATGTGAAAGTTAATTGAAACCATCATGCCTGACGCAGCATGATTAAAAAAGCCATTAATGTCATATTGTAATTGTTATTTCTTGCTGAAAAAAGAAGGCAGAAATGAAATCCTGTTGAGGAGTTTTGTTTGTCAAGACTTCGATGAGCAAACTTTTCTGCCTGATATCCGTTCAGATAGATAGAAGAAGTGGAGTCAGTAACTGCCAGAATTTTCCTAAGGCAGTGAGAATTACAAAGAAATCCTCAACTTTGAAGCCTAGGAATGATGTGTTTTTGAATAGCAAGAAGGCAATAAAAAAAAGTTTGATGCTAAGCTTTTACAGAATCAAAAACGGGGGAAAAATTGAAGG